GAGAGAGAGAGAGAGAGAGAGAGAGAGAGAGAGAGAGAGAGAGAGAGAGCGCTTTTAAAAGGGAACATAGTGAATGTGGACAGGAGGGGCTCTTAGTGGCTGCAGCTGAGGATGTACCCTGTCAGGACCCCAAGGGCAGGCCAGTGCAGATGCCTGAATACTAACAGGGTGGGCAAAAACAAACATGGTAGAGAGAAACCAGGCTGTGAGATGCTCCATAACTGAAGAGAGGGAATCTATCACTTCACTAAGATGCCTACCAGTCAGAAAGTAGCTTATCAAAGGTGTGACAAATTACATAGTGTGCAGCTTCCCTTACTGCTGTTGATTGTTCAAGACACTAAAACAATCCCTATTGTCGTCAGATTTCAGGTTTGATTTAAAAACCAGAGGGTCGGCTGGGCAGTGGTGATGCATGCCTTTAATTCCAGCACTCGGGAGGCAGAGGCAGGCGGATCTCTGTGAGTTCGAGGCCAGCCTGGTCTACAAGACCTAGTTCCAGGACAGGCTCCAAACTACGAAGAAACCCTGTCTCGAAAAAACAAAAACAAAACAAAAAGAAAAAAACCCAGAGTGTCAGAGGGCATTAATTAATGTTCAGAAATGAGCCCCCACCCTCATTTACCAAGGTTCTGTAATACCATCCTTGCTCTGGTGTCTGACTGGAAATGGGGTGCTGCTGAAGTCATTGTCAGCTGGACCACCTGTTATAACTGTATGTCACTTTAAGAGACAAACCACGCCCACTCCTTGCAGCCCCTCCCCTCCTCTCGCCATTTTGGCTTCTCTCTGTTCCCTTTGGTGCGTGTGCACTCCCTCTCTCCCCCTCCCCTCTCTCTCTCTCTCCTCCTCCTTCTCTCTCTCTCTCTCTCTTCTCTTCCCCCCTCCCCTTTTGCCTTCTCCTCCATAACTCCCTGAATAAATATTTAACCTTTTTTCTACATGTGTGTCTATTCATGTCTCTGTCTCCTGCCCACCCGCCATGTGTCTCCCTGCCTGGGACCAGACACTGCTCAGGGACCAACATTCATCTCTGCTGGGTGTCTGCTCCCAGGGCCTGCTGCCTGCCGCCACATGGCCCGCTACCACCATTCGGGGACCTACAGCATTTCTGCTGCCTACTGCCGCCAGGGATCTTGCAGCATTTAAAAAAAAATCATAACACCACCTACACCATTGATGCCTTCTCTTCCCCAGCCCCTTGTTCTGTCTCTTTAAGAGACAAGCCCACTCCCTCCCCCATCTTCTGAGGCAGGCAGGTCTTCCTTCCTGCTTGCAGCCTTAGTCAGTCTCTCTCTCTCTCTCTCTCTCTCTCTCTCTCTCTCTCTCTCTCTCTCTCTCTTTCTCTCTCTCTCTCTTTTCTGACTCCCTCAGAGAGGCAGCTTCAGTCTCTCTTCCCCTCACCTCACCTCACCTCTTTTCCCCTTCCCTCCCCTCCCCTCTGCTCTCCTCCTCTCTCCTCCCTTCCATAGCCACTTAACCCAACCTAACTCTGTATGTCCTCTTCTCTTCTCTTCTTCTCTTCTCTTCTCTTTCCCTCTCCACTCTTCTCCCCTTCTCCCCTCTCTTTCATAACCACTAAATAAATATCCAACCTAACTCTATATGGCGTGCCTATCCTTCTGTCTCTTGCCCACCGCCATGTGGCAAGCTGACAGGGACCAGACCAGCTACTGTCGTGCAGCGTTCCTGCCTGGGACTGGCTGCTCTCAGGACCCGCTGCCCCCTACCTGCCACCACATGACCCACTGCCTACCACCATTTGAGGACCTGCAGCGTTTCTGCTGCCTGCCACTGTTGAGGATCCTGTAGCATTTTTAATAATCCATTAAAGTCATCTGCAGTCATTTTATAATACTCCCCATTTTTGTACTGTTTTATCTTATTTTATGTTTTTTTAGTAGAGAATCTCAGCCCACAGGGTCCTGGAAGTCACTGTGTAACCCAGACTGCCCTTAAACTTTTGGCCTGCCTTACCCTCCCAGGAGTTACAATTAGAAGTGAAGGCAACTACACCCATCTCCCAGGGATTTGGTTGGTTGCTTGGTTGCTTGGTTGGTTGGTTGTATCATCATTGTCATCATCATCATCATCATTAATTGCATTTCAATTCTTGCACAATTCTTAACGCGTGTACCAAAAGTCTAAAGACCCATGTACTGTGTTTCCAGTGGTATTCCAGCTTCAGTCGTGGTGACAAATCAGCCTGCAAAGGAGTTCACATATGAATACGTTCTAGTACCGATAGCCCTTTACCTAACTCCATCTGAGTCACAGTGTTAGATCATACACAGTACTGTTGTGAAGTGAATCCAAGACCACCAGGGAAAGACCACCAAACATAATTGACATTTAAAAGATAAAAAACAAGGTTATTTTATTTAAAGCGATGTTGCAACAACAGCCTTCTTTGCCAACCTGAGAGCTTCTGTAGAGGAAGAAGACAGAAGCTAGAGCTTTTAAAGGCACAAACCACAATTGTCTCAACTCTGGGGATTTTCTGTTATGGGAGGCATTATCGTGTTTGTTTTGTTTTCTGAGCAAGCAAGTGGTTAAGGATGATTACAGAAACATTATGAGCATCTGGCTAATATTTTAGGATAGCAATTACACAATAAGGGAAGGTGAACCCAGTGACTCTGAGATGAGTCTCCTCTTCACATTGCTGTTGAGATTCAATCGCTGACATGACTGACCTTAGGGTCATAGTCTAGACAGCTCATGACTAACAACCCTTAAGCTAAGGATAAGGTCCTGCTGACGCCTAGGTTTTTCTTTTTATAACACCGTAACTGAGTTTGAAATGGAACTACTTTTTAAACATTACAGTACACACTCAAAATTTCCATCTTTTGCAGAACATTATTAAAATTATTAGAAAACTGGCCTACCAGGACCAGCGACACCACAGAGGGCAGCAGTTCTGACAGGTAATAAGCAAGGGGGTTGGAGTCTAGAAAATAGTTCCTACTAAAAGCTCAGGACTAGAAGTAATTTAAGATATTCAAGACACATTAGCTGCGTGACAGAGACTCCAAATGCCATTTGGTATTCTTTGTTTTGGAGACCTGTATGGCTTTGGGACTGGCCTGGACTAGGGTAACAGAAAATGAACACAGGAAAGGTTGAGATGGTGTGGGCTGCGTACTCTGACAGAGATGCCCTAGCAATAGCCAGGAAAGTAAAGCTTGCTTATTATGACCAACACCAAGGAAGATGCAGGTTAGCTAATCTCAGAAGGGTGTCTCCATAGGAGAGCAGTCTCAGGCTGTAGTTAGCCAGTTGTTTTAGATAAAAGTCAATGTTTGTAAACGTCGTGTATAGACTAGTGGAAGGCCTTGCCATTCACTTGGGTCTGAAGCACTGTGGTCCTAGACA